CTCCACCCCCATGTGCTCCCCATCCCCCCTGGAAAAACAGCGAGGTGGGGCCCCATTCCGCATGCACCTCCCGGCTCCACTGCGCGCGGAGTGTGTCGGTTCCAAGAGCGCTGGTGGGACCCATCGAGCGTCCGCTTCTCTAAGGAGATTCCTCGCCTGGCGTCTCCAGGCTTGTCTGCTGGAGCCTCGAGGCGCCCGGGTCCTACCTCTCCGGGCACCGTCACTGGTGGGCAATCCCAGCCTCCGGGTGCCCCAAAGCCTGTTCAGCCTTCGGGGTGCCCTCCCGGGTGGAGCCTGGCTGTGGCAGTAGTCCCGGAAAGAGCAGATGCGAGTGTCCTGCACGTGCCCTTTCGTGCTGCTGGGTCTCCCCCACATGGCGACGCTGCAGAGGGCCCGCGGGGATGCACCGGGTCGCCGGCCCCGCGGGTGTGTGCGGGGTGTCCGCGCACTAAGGACCTTCCTCGAGAGTGGGCGTGGGCCCAGAGGTGCAAAGGCCGGGGCCTGCACCGGAATCCGCCCGCTCAGCCCGCATCTCCCCTCCCGGCCTGACCCGCAGGTATCTGGCTATCCGCTACCCGCTGCACTCCCGCCAGCTGCGCACGCCTCGAAACGCGCTGGCGGCCATCGCGCTCATCTGGGGCCTGTCGTTGCTCTTCTCTGGGCCCTACCTGAGTTACTATCGCCAGTCGAGGTTGGCCAACCTGACCGTGTGCCACCCGGCGTGGAGCGCCCCCCGACGCCGCGCCATGGACCTCTGCACCTTCGTGTTCAGCTACCTGCTGCCCCTGCTGGTGCTCGGCCTGACCTACGCGCGCACTCTGCGCTACCTCTGGCGCGCGGTCGACCCGGTGGCCGCAGGCTCGCGCGCCCGGCGGGCCAGGCGCAAGGTGACCCGCATGATCATCGCCGTGGCGGCGCTCTTCTGCCTCTGCTGGATGCCTCACCACGCGCTTATCCTCTGCGTGTGGTTCGGCCGCTTTCCACTTACGCGCGCCACCTACGCGCTGCGCATCCTCTCGCACCTGGTGTCCTGCGCGAACTCGTGCGTCAACCCCATCGTCTACGCGCTGGTCTCCAAGCGCTTCCGCAAGGGATTCCGCCAGGTCTGCGCCGGCCT